GAAAATATTTGAAAAAGGCTAATATTGTTGTGGCCCTTGTTGTTCAAGTCCGATCCTGCTTCCTTTTAGACTAAACAAGACGAGCTCACACAAAAGCGGGAGAAGGGAGCAGCAACGATAGAAAATGCAGCTTCCGTTTCTGGTGCTGTTTTGTAGCCTCGCGGCTGGAGGAACGTAGGCACCAGACATAGCCTTAGCAGCCACACTTGGATCTGGGAAATACACACCAATATGAGATTAAGACAGTGATTTCAGTTGCTTTTCTAGTAGCTGTTCCACTGTGATGATGCAAAAGATTTGGACTGTCAGCTAAGTTGGTTTTCTACTAGAAAACGCAAAAAGTGGGGGGATACATTTTGGTGGGTGGAAGGCATGGAAAGAAAGCATCAGATGAGAGGAGGAGCCGCAGGAATGTAAGTCTCATGTTCCAAGCCTTGGCCAAGATAAAGCTGAAAACAGCCACCGGTCTCATCGGGCTTGCTTGGGAAAGGACATCTAGAGCCTGCACAGTGAGATACCAGAAAGTTGGGTAACACGTTCTCCTCTAGGCTGATGTGTCTGCTTACCCTCTGTGGGCAGTTAAGGATCCTGAGAAGAAGAAACAGGTGGAATAGTCAGATTTTTTTTTTTGACTGTTACAAGTGCTTAGTTTCATTTTGAGGTCAGTGATTTTGGAATCAGTCAGTCAAGTGGAGTAAGACCCCAGCAGACTCCTAGTAAGTTGGCCTATCTGGACAAATTTTGTTTTTGTAACTTTTGCTGACTGTTTTTTTTGTTTTAAAGAATTTTCTGAGACAAGCTGTGGACAACTCAATATAAAGGCTTCTGCACTGTGGAATTGGCTAAACTTTTGCCAGTATCTCAGAATATCACATCACACCCTTTTTCTTCCCCCTCCCTGCTCCATGTCTGATACTCAGGTAGCCACACAACAGTCAGATGGGAATAATGGCCCTACTGGAACTCAGAGAAATCTTTGCTTCACCCTTGAAATTGTTTTAAGTTGGAATAATCCAGTGTGTTGCAGAGATGGAGGTTTTGCTTTTCAGAAGCAATTTCATGAATCAGAGAAAAGCCCCCACTGAGTAAAGAGGGATTTTTATTTTTTTTTTCACTGTATGGAGGAGCTGTAACTCTGTCAGAGATGGGAAATTCTCATGAGAACCCAAAGATGTGCAGTTTCTCCTTGAACTTTTCTTGTGTGTAGAAGCTTACAACTTTTCTTTCCCTTTAGCGTAGCGCAGGCTACTTCCCTCATCTTGCTATGACAATTGCAGTGTCAGGTGGGGGGAAACAAGCTGCTCTTACATGTTTCCCTGTGGGCATACACCAGCAGGCTGTGGTTGTCTCCTTACCAGCCTTTCCCTCTACGCACACATATTTCCTACCGCATGTGGGAGCCATGGTCAGCCTTCATTTAGCGTCTTTAATGTTCTCCTCCTGATTTTCTTTCACCTCCAAAAACAATTTCTCTACCTCCGTGGGTCACAGTTTGTGTTATCAAAATGTACCTGTCATCACCAGATGTGAAGATTGTGGCATTTTTTTCCTCCCCTCACCCCTTCCAGGTAAGGATCTCTCTTCGCGCAGTGAAGATGATCTGTCCTGCATATTTGGGAAGCGACAGAAGAGTATGAAGACACAGGTAAACGAGAGGCTTCACCTTTCCCTTGTTTCCTTGCGTATTTTCCCTTATAACAAAAACATATTGGAGTATCTTTCTGCTGATGAGATTGCCACATGACCATCAAAACAAGGAGTGAATGCCTGTGAAATTACTGTTCTTTCAATGTGAAGGCTGCAGGTGGAGGGCTGTGCTCTGAACCATTAGAAAATGAAGGGTGAATTTAATACATATTTTTATGAATTATTGTGATGTAAATTCTTTGGTGTTAGGAATCTTCATTATTTTAATTTTATACTTGTTAAGCAATATACATCACAAAGTAGATCAATTTTGCTTGATCTGAAAGTTGCATAAATATCCAAAATAAAATTTGACGTTCAGCAGCAACTGGCTAAACTCAGCAAACTGCCCTTATTTTCACAAGAATTGGGAAAGGCTGAGCAGCTGCAAAGTCTTGCTCATCTTTGAATAAAGGATTCAAAGATGGCTTGAACACTGGTAAATATTTAATGAGAAGACTTTTCTCCAACTTGTGTAATGAGATCAAGGTTTGTACCAGCATTTATTTTACTTTAATTTTGTGTTCGTTAGCATTTTACACTTGCAGAGAATAGGCCTGCTATATCAGTATATTAAATAACAGACTTACACTGTGACATGACTAATGTATCCAGAGAAATTCTTTGGAAAAGATAACATCTGGCAAAGCATGAATGAATATGTCGCAGGAATTGCCCTGTTGGTTCAGAGGTCTCTGAAGTCTCTTGTAGTTAGAGGGAAAGATTGGGCCTGAAATGGAATGGAAATTTCTGAAATACCTTGTATGTGTTTGATGCCTTGCTCGTTGTGCAGTACTCTTGAAAATTGTTCTGTAACTTCACTGAAGGCCACTGTGAACTTTGGGAGGAATGTGCTAAGACATCCTGGGTAGTAGTGGAAGTAATATAAGGTTTGTAGCTGTGTAGATGCTAGGCAGAATGACAAGGGAGCTTGTGAAGAACAAATAGTGATCCACTGGGGATTCTTCACTGGAAAAAACTCTTACTATAAATTAAAGAATACGTCAGTGAGGTGTCTTGAACAGTTTGAAGGATTTGGTCTTGCCATTATCCCATATAGTATTATAATTTCAGTGAATGTGCTGTAGGTTTTAAAGTTATTGGTAGGACAGAGAAGAATGTCAAAGTCTGTTTTCTGAGTACTGTTCTCTAAACTACAAAAATATAGTTACAGTTAATTAAACCGGGAGGTTAGAAGAAATTTAAACAAATGAAGAACTGTCCTGTCTTGTCTGCCACTGTGAAAAACAGTATGAACCTTTGTTACAAATCACATGGTTTGGCTTGAAAGGTAAGAGCTTGGGAGGAGGCCATCAGCCACAACAGAACCCATCCTAACTTACTACTGTCTTAAAATAAGCATGTGGGGACTTCGAGTCTGTGAGAGCTGTTAGAGGTCTCAAATGCTGTAGGTAAGCTCCTGCCATCGGAGCCCCCTTGATTAACACTTCTGATCACCTAAATATGCCGTGGATCTACTTCTAAGCTCCCTTGCTGTCAGATCAATATGAAGCAAGAAAAACTGGGATTTAATGCAAATTTACAGTGCTATGGTTAAGGGAGTAGATTTTGCCCACCCATGAGTTGTCCCAAATAGCTGGTCTTGTTTGCTTTGCATGTCCTGCATCTTTTGAAACTAAAAATAAGTTTGGAAAGTGCTGTTGCTGCTTCTAGGACTTAATCCTGCAGAGTATTTGTTCTTTTGTTGATAGACGCTGCAGATCACATGCATTTATGGCTTCTTGTGAAGGGTGTATAAGTTTGTGTGTGCTTTTGCTAATTCCTCGACCGATGCAGTGGTTGGCTGATGGCTACTGTGCAGATTTCCTTTTCACCCTCACTGAACACTAAGCTAATGGTTCAAGGTTCTGGCAAAAAGTCACAGGCTGTTCCCTGTTAAGCACCCAGATTTCCACATGCAAATACAGGCAGGAGGTAATGTAATTTGGAGCTGCATTGTTGTCTTCTGGCTACCGTCTGCTGCTAAGCAGCCACAGGGAGAGAAAGCCAGAGGCAGCACAATTGCTTTTTCTTTTTTTTTTTTTTTCTCCCTCTCCTTTTCTTCATGGATCAGAGATCTGTGGAGTTTGCACAGAACAAGAATGCATTGCTCAGGCCCTCCAGCTCTGAGCAATTTCATTTCATTGCACCCATGAACTCTCATGATCCCTTTCCATCATGTTCCAGAGCCTGGTCCTTAAGGTGGCACAAATGGAACTGCCCTGTGAGGATGTGCAGTACTGTTCACTGTCTGTGTTTGCATTGAAATCCGTAGGCTCTGGGCATTTCCATAATGTGGCAGAGAGCGCACTACAGGAGCAGGAAAGTGCTGTCATTCTCCTGGAAGTCAGTTGGTCGTATCTGTTCTTGTGTAGAGATAACGTAGGAAGAGTCCTGGTGTCCATCAGAGCCCTGGGGTATGCCTTCAGGCTGTGGTAGGCTGCGCTCCCTTTTAATTGCAGCTCCTGCAGACCTTAGTAACAGTTGTATGCTGCTGCTGTCCCTGTTCAGAGTAGATGAGGACAGCTTCCATACTTACTAGGTGCCAGAACTGCTGCTGTCAATTACTCTGATTGCAGGTTCCCAGCTGTAGTTGCAGCTGAGATGATACAAGGAAGTACCTGTAATGTATTGATCCTGTAGCTTGAAGTCCTAGCTTTAAGGCTCTTTCCAAGGTATTAGATTCATCCTCTTTTTTCAGAGGTGCAGTTTGAGAAGCATTCAGTACAAATTATATTTGGATTGAACAAACTGTCCACAGCTCACAGCAGAGTTGTCATCTTTTGACAAAGATATTCAGCGTAATTCTGTTTCCCATATTTCTAGCTGTTGCAGTCCAGGATCAGAACCATCTTGGGCATAACTTCATGGAAAGATGCCGGAACTGCTTTCCATAGAGTCACAGAATTACTGGAATTGGAGGAGATTTCTGGAGGTCTCCAGATTAACCGCTCTGCTCAAAGGAGGGTCAGCTACGGCAAGTCGCTCAGGACCTTGTCCAACTGAGTTTTGACTATCTCCCTCCCTTAAAGCCTACAACTTAAGCCTGTGACAAAATTCAGTGGATGTATGAAAGAGATCACTTAAAGAGCAGAAGATGAGAACATTTTGGAATAACAAAATGCTTATGCTGTAAATGGACTCAGTTGGGTGATTATTTGCAGTTCTGTAGGCATCAGAGACACAGTGGAAGTTATGGAAATGTTTAAGGATGTATGCCATTGATGGCATTACGGCCAGGTTTTTCATCTGGGTGAGTTGCAGAGCTTCTCTTATTCCTAAGAGCTGTTGTACCCACAGCCTTTGAGCTTTTCTGTTTCTACAGGTGGCCTAACGTGCAGTAGATGGTGGCAGTGGTATTACGTCGATGCTCATCAGCACTATGGTACTAGGTCTGTCTGGTTGGTTGCTGTTATACCAACCTGTTCTTAGAGATTAAGAAAGGCGGGGGAAAGCAAAACCCAGGAAACTCCATCTGTGCTTATGGTTGAATGGAAACCAGTGGAAGGGCTCAAGGCTAAGTGACATGGTCTCTGGACCAGCAAGATAATCCCGGCTCTTCTGAAGTATTTGTCAAAAATGTGTCACCTCTGAACTGCTGCTGTGATAAATGGTGTCTCAACAAATCAGATATGTCACGGAGACACTGTCACAGAGACACTGTTCCAATTAGTTGTGTTCAGTCTTTTCTAGTATAGTCATTAGAAATCATTTTATGATCTTGACCTGTGGAGTAGTCTTTGGCAGACGATGTTTTGTGCTAGCTTAGTCTGAGCTGTCTTAGCTGTAAAGCTGATCTCAGACTCACTTTTTAACTGTCTCGGTAGCCTGGGACTGATCTAGCTAACGGATCTTTTCTCTTGTTTCACACTGACACTGCCGCAGTAAGTGGGGATGTTGAAATTTGGATTATCTACCTTATCAAAGGAAGAGGGAGTTGGCTAGAGGATTGTAAAGATTGCAAAAGAGTGGAATTGCAAAGGATATGGAAGGAAATGCTGTTTGCCCCTAAGGGTCAAAAGGAGTTTGTCTAGAAGTAATAAGACTGAGATACTAGTTTAAGCTATTGTTTTGATGGTTCTGGGATATGTGTTACTAATCATAGGCACTTGCAACCTTTAATTCTCCTGAATGTTAAACATAACGGTACTTTTTAAATTATTTTTGATAAATCATGTGTCCAACTAAAACCTCCTTAATAAACTACACAGGGACCTTTGTTTAAAAAAAAAAAAAGTCAAAAAAATAGGGGGAAGAAAACAATGGCTGGGCTTCAGAGTGGACCTAAATTGAAAACGTCTGCAGTTTTTCCCAGGGAGAGTAAGTGATCGAAAATATTGAATTGTAATTATGACGCTCTCTGGAGACCTGCAACGAGGACCTGTTTTGCAGGGTAAGATCTGCCAGACTTTTTTTGCCCCCACTTTCCCTCTGATTTTTCTCACTTGCTTAGGAATACTGGGAGCTGGGGAGACAGAAAAACAAATTCCATTAGTTCCTATCTGGTTGAACTTCCTGGAACCCCCACTATTTTTTTTGCTTCTCAGAATTTCCTTCCTCCATCCAGCTGTGTTTCCTGATGAAGCCTTATCACTGGAGAAAATGCTCCTGAGTGAGACTGAGGATTTGGGAATGAGTTACAGACAGTCCCAGCTTGGTTGCTGAACAACATGATTCTGGCACTGATTTCGCTTTGGGGGCTGGGGGAGTAATTCTGATTTGCTGGTGCATTTGTAATAACTCTGAGATGCATAGAGAACTGAATGTTTTGCCTCCATCTCACTTCCATGTCTCAGGCCATTTGATGAGTAATCTGCTTCCTCCAAATTTTTGTAAACTTGGATGTAAACCTGCGTAAGTTCCCTTAAACCACCTAATCCAAGTAGCCCGAAAGTCTCGAGTTTGTGGTGATTTCTTCCGTGTTAGTCATTAGAAATGTAACTATCCACCCTGTTGCTT